TGCCAAATGCAATTGGAAGCGACTCTGCATGTCGTGCGGTTTTTACTAAGTTTCAAGACGATTTGCTTAAATCGATATGGATTAGAGGCAATAAGACAGCCTTTGAAAACTCTGCGTTAACCAAGAAGACGGGGTTGATTTTCAGGGCTGTCTGAGAAAACGCTGAGCACCTGTAGACTAGGCAAAGAGGCTCGCGGCTTATGCCGAAATGCACTTATGACCATGGCTGTCTTTCAGGTAATGTCTTTGGTGCCGGACTCAGATCAGTGCAACAATGAAGCGGACGAGGTAGCGGCGCTGAAGCAGAGCGTCGTACAGCTGAACGAAAAACTTATCGACGTCGTGCAGAGAGTGGTGCGGTTGGAACAAGCTCAGGCCCAAGAACGTTCGTTTCTATGGAACTCATCGACGACGACGACCAACGCTGCCGGGGACAGCGACGGCAGCGACAAGATTGGTGGCGACCAGGCGACGTCTCCTTGCAAACACTGCCTGAACATCAGTGCCAGCATGAACGCTAACCTCTCTGGTGGTCTCCAGAACGGCGATAGTCAGGTTATCATTTTTTATCATATTGTTCTTCCATTTTTAAATCAACGACTACGATTTTAGATCCGATCCTCGATGTACCGACCACTGTCCGGCAGAGAAAGTCAGCAATGCATCAACATAACGAGAAAGTTCGATGACCATCACCTGGTAAGCGACTAACTCCGTTTGCTCGCTTTATGCGGAGGTGCACAACTGCAGCTAAGTTGCATAGGAAGTGCAGTGACGACACAAGATTGATATAAGTCTACAAAGAAAATCTATTGTTTTATGCGTAAACGAGCGAAGAAAATATATTTAGCCCTCCTGACGAGCGGCATAATCACCTGTGCTGCGTAATCTACTCTAAAAACAGCATAAACACGGTTAATTTATATGTCACGCAAACAATATAGTCGACAGCAAATTTATATTGGTCAGTGATTTGGTGCTGGTCAATCATAATTGACCGTGTTGCTTGCATAATATATAAATAAAAGACGATTTATGATGTTTTTTTTTCAGTAAGACAAAATAAACTCAAACTGATCAATTTTGCATGGCGAGATATACTAGTCATTGGTTATTTTGTGTAGTCATTTAGTCGGTTCAGACTCAGTTCAGTAAAGGTTCGTATCATTAGGGTTTTAACTGTTGTCGAGGAAAATGCCCGAACCTTCGTCATGCAACAAACTTCTGATACTTCAAACTGAGCAAGCAATAAAATGAGATTGAATTTGTAGAAACCTCAAACAATGGGTTATTTCAAGGCAACAGAAAGTTCTGACTAAGTTAAAGCAGAGAATACAGTAATACATCATCTGGAAAAAGTTGTAGCACCGTGCTTGAAGATCATTTTTGCAGAAACATCCAAAGAAATGTTGCAATCTGTCATTTCGCAGGATGTTATAATTCAGGGCAATTTGAAGTAAACTTCACGCCGTAGTTCGCAGAGATGTCATTCTGTGGTCTTTTTCGAACTTTGCGCTACCTTTGCAGCCGCCAGCAATAAACAGCAGGTCTGTTGATAAGGTTATGCGTCCTACTTAACAGTCACATATCAATAGCAGCGAACAGCGGCATAATTTTTGACCCAACTCGTCAGTTATGAACGGGTGCTTTGTTAAACCTCGTTAAGGTCGAAGAGATGTGATAATCGTTTCAGAATACGAACAATATCCTCATGATCACTACAGTAGACAAAACATCTAATGCGCGAGGTAGCTGTCCAAGAGAGTATTGT